GCAACATATCTTTGTTTCTGTATTATTCTAATTAATTAATTGATTTAAATTTATTTGTATTTATATTTCAGGTTTCAGTCCAAAATAATATTCTTCTATACTGTCTGTATTCCATTATCAATTATGAACATATGTAAATGTATGTTTTAGTAAAACTTACTGTAACTACCATTATTGGCAAATGTATCATTGAAATATACAATGGTATTCCTTATATATTCTCTTATATTTATTTCATTTTTGCTAGCAGCACACCTTTAAATGCATGTATGGTTACTATACATTGCAACGTATTAATCATAAGGTAAACATCTCTATTAAAATTTTATTACACAATGTTTTGAAATAACATTGCATTTTGGAAAATATGTCATTGGCTTTTTCCAATTTAATAACATTTAAATATTAAATTCAAATAAAATATTAAGTATTAAATTTAAAAGATAGCGTTTTGCTATTTCAATAATGTTTTTTATTCTGCAAGTGTTTTACATGAATATTTAACATAAACTCTGTATGTTGTCACTGTTTACTCCTGATAGTAGAGAATATCCATAAATATAGAAACTAGCCATCCCAGGATTCCCAGGATTCACTCACAATGGCAGCCACAGGTGTCGTAGAAAGTGCAAACACAATAGGGATTTGGGCTTTGTCATTAACAAGCTGTAGTGAGCCCCAGGGCTGAGCACACAGAGGGCAGCAGAAGCTGCAGAGCCCAATCAAATAAAGAAGGAGGATGGAGATGTGGGGTGATGGCTCCGCAGGACCCTAGAAAAGAGTGAGGAGAGCAGGGATTCTGCAGGTAGATGAGCATATTCTAAGTACTATTACCTTCCCATACTTATTGACTTCAGTGATCATGAAGGAAGGGAACTGATTCACCAGACATGGATGAGACAAAGTAAATGGACTTGCCACCTCTTACAGAAACCGAGGAATAGAAAAGTGTGAACAGAAGAAGGGAAGGTAGAGAAACAGACTGGGATCCTGAGCGCCCCATGGTGGTTCTGAGCGCCTCCTAGTGGTTCTGAGCGCCCCCTGGTGGTTCTGAGAGCCTCCTGGTGTCTTGTGCGCCCCCTGGTGGTTCTGAGTGTTCCCTGCTATCCTGAGCTAACCCTGGTGTCCTGAGCACTCTCTTGTAGTCCTGAGCGCCCCCTGGTGGTTCTGAGAGCCTCCTGGTGTACTGAGTGAGCTGTTGTCCTGAGCACCCCTGGTGGTTATGATCGGCCCTTGATGTCCTGAGTGCCCCGTGATGGTTCTGAGAGTCCCCTGGTGTCCTGAGCACCCCCTGGTGTCCTGGGCACTTGCTGCTGGTTGTCAGTGCCCCCAGTGTAACTTGAGCAGAAGTAATGATTAACCTGCAGAAGATACTGTGCTATGAGTCCTCCATACCATCTTACCCAGCAGAATAGATTTTCCTTGCTTTCAGCTGCTGGCTCTTTTATTTTAAATATTAATTTATTTACTATTATTTTATTTTACATTCATTTCATCCTGTCATTTCCTGAATATTTGATTAAATATTAAATTAAGTACCTATAATTTTTTTTTTTTTTTTTTTGAGACGGAGTCTCCCTCTGTCGCCTGGGCTGGAGTACAGTGGCCGGATCTCAGCTCACTGCAAGCTCCGCCTCCCAGGTTTATGCCATTCTCCTGCCTCAGCCTCCCCAGTAGCTGGGACTGCAGGTGCCCGCCACCTCGCCTGGCTAGTTTTTTGTATTTTTAGTAGAGACGGGGTTTCACCGTGTTAGCCAGGATGGTCTCGATCTCCTGACCTCGTGATCCGCCCGTCTCAGCCTCCCAAAGTGCTGGGATTACAGGCTTGAGCCACTGCGCCCGGCCAAGTACCTACAAATTTTAACAATTAATCATTTGTAGAAATAACATAAAATGTGTATGAAGAAGACGCCAAGTAGAGATGCCAGAAGATAAAACAAATAAACAACTTGTGTAAGTTTAGAGCGGAGCATGAGGACAGAAACTCTGAGGTACATGTGCTGAATTACATATGAGGAAGGTCAATTATATTTAACGTCCAGAATGTGGGTCATTTCAGTGAAAATAAATGGTAGAGTGGTCTGCATAGACCAGAAATTAGAAAGGAATAAAGTCACAAACTTGCAAGACCAGGAGACATTCAGCATATTCACCCTTTTCCATTTTGCTAGGAGGAGAAAATCAACGGCTATACCTTTGTGGGAAATGAGACAAGCAGTTTTTAAGATGACCATCCAGGGAAGTTGCCAGTAAAATCACTCAGGTGATGCTCTGACACAGGATGGTGGAGGGATGTGGTCCTGTGATGGTTGCTGTCAGCGACGTGGGATGCTCAACTCTAGTGGGTGCCTTGCCACTATTTCATCCATGAGAGACATTAAGCTATGATGTGCTACATGCTGGTGAGTTCCTTAACCTCAGATGAAGACAGGAACATGACAACACAGAAGAAGAATGTGATGGTTAATACTGAGTGTCAGCTTGATTGCACTGAAGGATGCAAAGAATTGTTCCTGGGTGTGTCTGTGAGGGTGTTGCCAAAGAAGATTAACATTTGAGTCAGTGGACTGGGGGAGGCAGACCCAGCCTCAACCTCGGTGGGCACCATTAATCAGTGCCAGCATGGCTAGAATAAAACAGGTAGAAGAAATTGGAAAGACTGGACTTTCTGAGTCTTCTGGCCTTCATCTTTCTCCCATGCTGGATGCTTCCTGCCCTCAAATATCATACTCCAAGTTCTTCAGCTTTTTCACTCTTGGACTGAAGTCAGTGGTTTGCCAGGGGCTCTCCAGCCTTTGGCCACAGACTGAAGGCTGCACTGTCATCTTCCTGACTTTCGAGGTTTTGGGACTCAGGCTGACTTCCTTGCTCCTCAGCTTGCAGGTGGCCTATTATGAGACTTCACCTTGTGATCTTGTGAGTCAATCCTCCTTAATAAACTCCACATCAAATGTATACATGTATCCTGTTAGTTGTGTCTCTCAAGAGAATCCTGACTAATACAATGAGAAAAGTGAAGAGCTCATTACAGCAACCACATTTCTTTGATAAGAACTCATCTCACCGAGAGCAGCAGATGTGCAGGAAATAGAGAGGATTTGGGGGATATTGTCCATAAAAGAACAGATGCAACCTAACTGAAGTCCCCATGAAAGGAGGGTGTAAATGTTTGTTCACAGCTAATGATGGCTTATGTCAAGACCTCCACAAGGCTTCAGAAATAATTTGTATTAACAAATGTAATAATTTATATAGTTTTTTCCAGATCTTGTTTTACCTCCCGAGGCAGCAGCACAGAGTGATGTTTTCAGAATCTCCCTAATCTTCTGTGAGCTCCTGGTAGAGTTCCTGGAAGAAAATCCTGCATGTGGAAGTGAGCCCTCCTCATGTGCAGCCCCTGAGGCTGTCATGTCACCTCAAATTTCTGAGTTATGTCATCGACATTTCTGAGTTAAACTTCCTGAAACATATGGCATTTGATAGTGTCTTCCACATTTAAAAAAATACTTAAATTCTGTTTATCCCTGCAGACATCTGTCCCTCTCTGGCATACAGTTTGGTTTTGAGTGTGTAGTAATTGATAATTTATAGAAGGTTTTTGTGCATCTTGTGATCTTCCCGAGTGCACCTGCTATGGGGTTGACACCAATGAGCAAGCAGATGGACGCTCTCACCTGTAGTGGGACAGGCATTTCTAGAGCCAGTGACCCCAGTGGGGCTCTCACCCTCCAAGACCAATCGGGCTCATGCCTCTGGCTAATGTGGAGGCACAAGGGGTACCAGTGCCCACCCTTGAGAGAGTTTCTTCTATTTCCCTCCCACGTTGTAAAGGGAAGCTATTGCTTCTGCCTGGATCTCACGCATGAGTTTTCATTTTCTGTACAAAGGGCCTCATCCAGAAACACCCACAAAAGCATACAGTGAATCTAATGGAACTATAGAAAGTCATACATGATGTGCCTCATGACCAAGGTCTCCACTTCTCACTAAGGATATTCCTTATGGGATTCACTAGAACTTGCTTTCTTTCTATAAACATGGATCTACCTCTAAACACTTAGGGACCTCACCCTCTGGGAAGGGACATAGTAAATCAGGAGCCACAGAATCTATAAGAAAATTTACATTGTATGAATCCTCTAAAAAACAGTCCTAATAGAAATAGTCCCACCTACTTTTCCTCTAACTGGCATCATTCCCAGGAGCCCACTTGAGGAAACTCTGGTGCTTCAAGATTATTTAGGCTTGGTATGCCAAGGGACCGCTGGAAGAGGAAAGAAGCAATGTGTCCATGTAAGTTCATCCATTGGAACTTATTGATGACTCAGGCAGGATGGAGACCGTGGGGAAGTCCATGCATGGTGAAGCAGGGGCACATAAGGACTCTGTGCACCTTCTGTTCAATTGTGCTGAGGTCTCAAAACTACTTTTTAATACATTTTATGTAAGAGAGGTGGCAGAGCCGGGCGCGGTGGCTCACGCCTGTAATCTCAGCACTTAGGGAGGCTGAGGCGGGCGGATCACGAGGTCAGGAGATCGAGACCATCCTGGCTAACATGGTGAAATACCATCTCCACTAAAAATACGAAAAAAAAGTCAGCCGAGTGTGGTTGCAGGCGCCTGTAGTCCCAGCTACTCGGGAGGCTGAGGCAGGAGAATGGCGTGAACCTGGGAGGCGGAGCTTGCAGTGAGCCAAGATCAAGCCACTGCACTCCAGCCTGGGCAACAGAGCGAGACCCCGTCTCAAAAAAAAAAAAAAAAAAAAAAAAAAAGGCGTACCTTTTGACCAGTTTTTAAGATTTATGTTTAGTGTTAGCCATGTTATCAAGCAATCTTGCTCCAAATTATTTATCTATCTGATTTTGGAACTTATATCTGCACAAAGCCTACGTCGGAAACTTTGCGTCAGCTTGACTGATTTCTGCTTTTACCTCAGTGTGAATTGTGCATATAGGGTGTCAGTTATTAGAAATATTTCCTATATAGAGTGCATACATGTTTCTATTACTCATATTCCTCAATTGCTTAGCCTATTTTATAAACAACTTTAAACATTGTAAGCCCTGTAATCTCCTCATTCAGTGCAGCTGCCTCCTCCTTGGGGTTTCTGACGGTCTCAGGATGTGGGTTTTCACACTGTGTATCTTGCACAGTAATACACAGCGGTGTCCTCAGATCTCAGGCTGCTCAGCTCCATGTAGGCTGTGCTCATAGACCTGTCCCTGGTAATGGTGACTCTGTCCTGGAACTTCTGTGCATAGTTGGTGTTACCATTGTAAGGTGTGATCCATCCCATCCACTCAAGCCCTTGTCCAGGGGTCTGTCGCACCCAGTGCAAGTAGCGGTAGGTGAAAGTGTATCCGGAAACCTTGCAAGAAACCTTCACTGAGGCCCCAGGCTTCTTCACCTCAGCCTCAGACTGCACCAGCTGCATCTCGGAGTGGGCACCTGTGGAGGGGACACAGGAGTGGATAAAGCCCCCTTGACTGGACTCGATCCCCTTCTCAACACTGGGACCTGGGAGCCCCCCTTACCTGTGGCTGCTGCCACCAAGAAGAGGATCCTCCAGGTCCAGTCCATGGTGAGGAGCTGAGCTCTCAGGGGATTCTCTAGAGGAGGGATGTGGTTGTTGGGTGATGCTCTCAGGACACAGACATCCATATTTACCTCAGTGGATCTCAGGTTATTTGCATATTGATGAGACAGAGCATTTCATAGCTCAAAGCCTGGCAGACGATAAGAAAGGGAAGATAAATGACATATCAACCTTACAAGAGTGAGATGCTGATGGTTCAAGCCCTAATCCTGCTTGAGGAAATGAATGCCCTGCTCCATGTATGAACATTCGTGGACAGAGGTCCTTTCACTGAAGAATCAGCCCTCTCAGAACAGGCTCCTCACTGCAAATAAAGATTTTACAAGCATAGAGACCACCTCTATGATTTCTGGAACAATCACTCTCCATGACACAGAGCAGTTGCCTTGGCCCTATCCTGGACCCTTCAGGAACTAGCACAGCTCACTGGTGACTCTGAGAAAGTGATTGCTGATGTCCCACGTGAGCATCCAGCAGGTCCCTCTGAGAGCCACTGGGCACTCTTTAGACAGTGTCTGCATCAACTGCCTGGTGTCTTGATCCCCCAGGCTCTTCAATTGAAACACTCTTGGACTCTTGGTCTACAGGTTATGAACTCATGATTCCAAAATAACTTCCAAGGAATTTGTGTTATGGATATTGTGGGTTTTATTTCCAATTCCATTCAGTGAGCACTGAAACCATGAGCAGTTTGTGTTGACTTTTATATGAAGAAGTTCAGTTATATTTGACATCCAGAATGCTGGCCACACCAATGAGAAAAGTCTGTAGAGTGGTCCGCACAGGTCAGAAATTAGAAAGTGGTATATTCACAAGCTTGCAAAACCGGTAGACATTCAGCATATTCAGCATCCAACTCTTTCTATTTCTTCAGGAAGATAGAGGGGCTATATCTGTATGGAAAATGGGACAAGTAGTTTTCAGCTAATTCTCCTGGGGAGTTGCTATTGAAATCATTCAGGAGATGCTCTGACATAGGATTGTGAGGAGGACGTTGACCCCTGGTGGTCGCTGTCAGCAACACGGGATGTTCAACACTGGTGGGTGCCTTTGTTACTTACTGTTTTGCCCACAAGAGATTTTAGGCTGTCATGTGCTGAATGCAGGTGAGTTTTGAAACCTCAGATGAGGAAAATTCATGACCACATAGAAGATGAGAAAATTGAAGACTTCACTTCATCAAGCACATTCCGCTGATGAGAACTGTTTACACAGAGAGCCAGGGATGAGCTGGGAAGAGGAAGGGGCTGGGGAAGATCATCCATAGAAGGACACATCCAGCCTGCTTGAACTCCCTGTGGGAGGAGGGTTTAAATGTTTGTCCTCAGCTAATCAGGGGTATTTCAAGACCTTCACAAGCTTTTAGAGAAGGAGTTTTCATGAACAAATACCCATACATTATTCAGAGTTGTATTTTTTTCGTATGTATTCTTCTTCTCTAGGCAACTCCACAGTAGGGTGTTCTCAGAATTCTCCCTGATCCTCCTTGAGTTCCTGGTGCAGTTGCTGGAGGAAAAGCCTGCATGGGGGAGGGAGCCCTCCTCATGTGCAGCCCTGAGGCTGTCCCGTCACCTCACCCGCCACTGCCCTTCAGTCACTTGGTAAACATTTGTGAGCTAATCTTCCCGAAACGTGTGGTTTCGCACAGTATATTCACAAGGTAACGAAATACTTAAACTCTGTCTGTTTCCACAGGCACATATTCCTTTCTGGAGCACAGGTTGGTCTTGAGTGTGTGGCAGTGGATAGTTAGTGAGAGGAGGTTTACGTGCATCTTGTCATCATTGAGGGTATCCACCATGAGGCTGATACCCACAAGCAAGCAGATGGACTTGCTCAGCTGGAGGATGACAAACATTTTCATAACCTGTGGCCTCAGTGGTGCTCTTTCCCTGCAAGACCAATCATGGTTATCCCTCTGGCTAATGTGCAGTCAGCAAGGGCGACCACTGCCCACCTCTGTGAGGGCTCCCTCCAGGGTCCACCCACTTTGTAAGGGGAAGCTTTTGTTCCTGCCTGGGTCCCATGCATGTGTTTGCATTTGCTGCACAATCCGCCTTATTCAGAACCACCTCCCAAGAGCTTACGGTGTATCTAATCCACCTCTAAGGCATTATACATGGAGTCTCTTATTATCAGGTTTGCCAACAGTAATTAAAGGATTTTTCATTATGAGATTGACCAGAACTTTCTGGCCTTTTGTTGTGGAATCAGGAGGACCAGAGAGGTCCTATATACAGGAGGATATCTTTATTAATGAGTGCACTCAGACCCAGCAGACTCAACAAACAAAGACTGGGTGCAGAACAAAGACAGCACTTGACTTTTATACACGCTTCACAAAATGGGGTGGGCTAGCTTGAAGCAGGCTTAGAGTGGCACAAAAGCAGGGATACAGAGGCAGGACAAAGACAGTTAGTCACATTGTAACAGGTTCATAACCCAGGATTGCACATGACCATTGCTATGCAACCCAGATGTCTGTTATCTAGGTTTTGCTCTAAACAGCCTTGCACTGTTAACACATCTCATAACACTCACTATGGTGCCTAGACCGCTGTAGTTCAGGTCTGCTTAGGCTTCTCATTACCTTCATTGTACTTCTTAGATAAAACAGAATACTTGAAGTTACTAGTTACAGAGAACAAGAATCTATAAACTCATACCGTAAAACAATGGAAAAATTCTTTTTCTTCTCCCTGTGTTGAGGGAGTGCTGGAGGAGTCTCAGAAGCACATTAGATAATATTATTAAGACTTTTCCTGGGTCTGGGCTGTGCTTATTGCTGCCTCTGGGATAAGTCAGCCTAATAGAGGAAAGCTTATTTCTCTTAAAAATTTTTTTTTTCAATTTCCAGCCTCACTAAAAGCTTAAAAATGTTATTCTCTGGGAAGGGGCATTGTAAACCAGAAGTAAGACAAACTCCAAATTAATATATATTTCGTGGATTTTGGAAGAAAGTGCTCAAATGGTAATAGCCTCAACTCACTTTCCCTCTGACTAATATCACTTCTAGAAAGCCATTGAAAGTACCTGGGTGTTTCAAGATCATTTAGGTTTGTTATATTAGGGGATCATTAGAAAAAGAAAGAACCAAGTGTCCGTGTACATTCATCCATTGTAACTGATTTGTGCCTGTGGTGCAGGATGGTCGTGGTGGAGGAGGCTCTGCCTGTGCAGGGCAGGGATTCATGGGAATTCTCACACCTTCTGTGAAATTTCTTTGCAATCCTAAAACTGCTCTAAAATAAAATTTATGGTAAGGAGTGACAGAAACATTTGAAAGACAATTTTGCCTCTTTTTAAGAATCATACTTACCCTTAACACATGATCAAATAACCTTGCTACAAATTATTTATGCATCTAATGTGAATTGTTCACAGTAACTCCTTCATGGAATGCTTGTATCAACTTTATTGAGTTTGGCCTTTCCCACTCTGTCAATTTGGCTTATATGGTGGCTCTTGAATGGAATATTTCTCTTACAGCTAGACCATGTTTCTATTGTTCTCAAATTTATAACCCATTTTCTAAACAGTCTTAAACTGAATAACCCCTGATATTTCCTCAGCCCAGCACAGCTGAGTCCTCCCTCAGGGTTTCTGACACTCTGAGGATGTGGTTTTCACACTGTGTCTGCCGCACAGTAATACACGGCCGTGTCCTCAGAACTCAGACTGCTCAGCTCCACGTAGACTGTGCTTGTGGACGTGTCCCTGGTCATGGTGACTCTGCCCTGGAACTTCTGTGCGTAGCTTGTGCTACCATCACTAGGGTTGATTCCTCCCATCCACTCAAACCCTTGTCCAGGAGCCTGTCGCAGCCAGCTGATAATATAACCGGTGAAAATGTATCCAGAAGCTTTGCAGGAGACCTTCACTGAGGCCCCAGGCTTCTTCACCTCAGCCCCAGACTGCACCAGCTGCTCCTGGGAGTGGGCCCCTGCGGAGAGGACACAGTAGAGAGTGACAGTCCCCTAAACTGGAAAAAAATATCCCCTCCTCAGCCCTGGAACTAGTTGACCCTTTACCTGGAGCTACTGCCAGCAAGCAGAAGACCATCCAGGTCCAGTCCATGGTGAAGAGCTTTCCTCTCAGGGGCTTCTGTAGAGAAGGGATGTGGTTGCTGGGCGATGATTTCAGGGCCCAGATGTATCCATATTTACCTCAGTAGATCTAAGGATATTTGCATATTCATGAGACAGTTTATTTCATACCTCAAAGCCTGATCAAGGATGAGAAAGAGAAGATAGATGACCCATCTGCCACACAGGAGTGGGATGTTGATGGTCCAAGCCCTAATCCTGCTTGAGGAAATGCATGCCCTGCTCCAGGATCCTTTCACTGAAGAACAAGTCCCCACAGATTACGCTCCTCACTCTGATCCTATATTTTATTAGCATCAGGACCATCTAGATCATTTCTGGACCATCATTGTCCATGACACTGAGCATGTGCCTTGGCCCCATCATGGTCCCCTCAGGCACCAGCACAGCTCACTGTTGACTCTGAGAAACTGACTGTGGATGTTCCATGTGACTCTCCAGCAGGTTCCTCTGAGATCCATTGGGCAGACCTGAGACAGTGTCTCCATCACCTGCCTGGTGTCTTGATTCCCCAGGATCTTCAGCAGAAACACTCTGGGTTTACAGAATTGCCCTGAGGTGCATAATTGGAGATGATTTTCTTATGTGACGGACACGAGGAGTCAGAAGTTGAAACAGGAGTTTGGAGCTCTTTATGAACTCATGCTCCCAAAATAACTTCCAAGGAATTTGCGTTTTGGATAATTATGGATTTTATATTTATCTCTGTTTATTAGTATTTTGTGAAGTATTTAGACTTTCAGTTGGTATCCAGAGATCCTGATCTTTCCATATTGATTTCTGACTCCTTACGTTTGTGCACCTCCCACACTCTCAGATCTACCACTGCCCTATCACTCACACAATGTAGGCAACATTACTTAACACTGAAATCTGAATTTTTTGTTCATAGGAATATAGTGACTCCTGCAATTCTGTAACCATTGAATTAGTAAAATCATGCCTATTCTTCATATTCTCACTATGAAGATATTTATAATCCTAGAAGTCCAACTTAAAAAATAGTTATCACTGCCTTAAGTTATATGAATTGTTCCATTGTAGCAGGATATTTGAAGGCATATCAGCTACTCGTCGAACAGTTATTTTAGATTTTCTTTTTTTTCTGACGAAGGAAAACCGAGACCTTGGGAGGAAACCTCCTCCCCAGCCTTCTGTTCTGGGGCTGGACCCTGTGCTGCGTGACTCCTGAGTGCCCCCTCCTGCCCAGCCCTTACATTGCAAGGAGGTTTCTGTCAGGGCTCACAAAATATTTTCCCCAGAGTCTTTAGTCCAGCAAAAAGTGGCTGTGTCCTGGCTTAGAATACTCTTTCAGTGACAATATATGCTGTCAACACCATCTCTTGAAACAGTTGATTAGCCTAACTAAACCTATTGAATTCTGCAGAAAGACCCAAAGAAAAGATTCTAGGACACAGGAGGGAGCCAGTTCTCTGAAGCTCTAGATGCACTAAATCAGTGGAGACACAGTGAATACAAGAACTTGTAGGGGTTTGGGCAGGGTCGTGTTTCTTCATTAGGCTCTTGTAGTTGAACATTGCATCTGAGAATACCTGCGGGTGTAGATCTATTCAGATGAAAGCCATCTTTGTATCTCCTATTCCAATAACACACATTTTTCCTTCTTCCCAGTGTCTAGCCTGTAGAAAGTGCCTCCTGCACTGACACTAGGTCTAGGTTTATGCCATGTTTTTGTCCTAGAGAGCTAAGACAAACAGGATACAAGTGGAGACTTGGGAAGGACATGCAGTTTGTTGTTTTTTTCTTTTTCCTTAGCTAGGAACCCTGCAAATGGCCCATGGTAACAGAATCGGCAGTCAATACGGGAGTTGCCAAGACCTTGTCTTTACAGAGTTGATGTCAGAGGCTTCAGATTGCTCTTCTGTTCTTGTCCTACTCTCTGCCAATCTCTTTCAGTTTCCCTATGTTCTCCTTCTCTAATAGAGCCTGTGCATTGCCACACTTTCATCTTTAATTTGTGCATCCCGGAAGTATCATATGTAGTTACAAATGAATCTTAATAATTTAGTGCTCTTCTTTCTCTGGAAGTTGTCCTATACACAGAGTCTCCAGAGGTCAAACTGATGCTTTCCCTTTTCCAGCTGGAACATTATAGGATTCTTACCCTATTGGCTAATTTAACCCATTTTCATGATAAAGGAAGCCTGCTGTGAGGGGTCTGTAATGGAGATGGACTGCCTTCCCTTACATTGATCAGGTGCTAGAAAGGTCCTTCCCCTGGATCTTCTATCTGGAGCAGTTTCTGTGTGTATTTCTCAGAGTTTATGTCTCTTGATGACTTAGCCATGAAATAATCTATCGCAATTCTCACACAAAAAACCTGGAGGTCACTGGAGCAAAAAACCACAACAGTGTGGGGTGTGGGGTCTCCAGGATTTTGCACCCTCATACGGTCAGACATGCCCTCTTTGTTTATGTAGTTCAGATTTACATATAATAAACCCCACAGCCAGGTGTATCTGAATTACCACATACCCATTTAAACTCACTGGAGCAGCAGCTGCGTGTAATCATCACATTGAACTCAGAGAAACCTGGGCCCAATACACTGTTTCTTGTAGCTCAGAGAAGCATCATTGATTCACTTGAGTGGACATTTCTTCCCTGAAACAGCCTCACTACCAACTACACTAAAGAGTTGCTATGGAGCTGCTGTGGGGTTGGATTTCTTCCCGTTGGCCTGTCATGCAGGGTGTTTGGAATGATGTAGACCTTTAAACTTAGATGCTAATAATTCCCACTGTTATTGAAATGGCTGGCAGCCCCCAATCCTGTTTCTCCCGTCCACTAACCTGAATATATCCAAGAACCCCATGAACCTCAGGACTCTTTTTCGTAGATGACTCTGAGGATTGTCAATCTGCTCAGTGCCACAATCAGAGGCATCCAATGGAGGATTCTCAGTCCACTGATACGTTGAGCCCATAACATAGGACACTTATACAAGAGTGGCCACATCATGTCAGTGCCAATCAACATTTAATTCAAGGGGCACGATTTTCAGTGCATTGAAGTTTAAAAGTTTCATAATTCTTAAGAGAGGCACAAACTGAATGGTTTGCAGAAGAAATAAGCTCATGGTTGGAAGAAAGCTGACTGCCCCCAAGAAGAGTCTGTTTAAGTAAAGTACCTGAAACATGATGTTCTGAAACCTTGTGAAAATTCATTTCCCGGAGTGAAAAACAGGAAAGTAATTCTCAAATCATTGGAAGAAACCTTATCAGAAATTTTATCAATGCAGCAGTCAAATTCCAGTAAGTCAATCCTTGGGTTTATGTTTCACAACTCAAGAAAGAATAAAGAAATCTACATAATTGGAAGGCTACTCCAACAGAGGAAATTTTGAACTATTTAGTTAATATACCAGTATTCACTCAAAGACACTCTCCTATGGGATCTTCAACTTAAGCAGATGTCTGTAACCTGGAAAACTTTTCTCACTTATTTTTCTCTAGACATCCGTAAAAGCTAAAACATCTTGTATATTTGTGCATGAGTGATCTATAGAAGTACTTTCCATATTAATGAAAGTTTATGGAAACATGAGAGCTTCATCACTTATTGTGAACTCACACTTCACTGGTTTCCAAAATTCTCCACCTATGTGATGAGGCAATGGGTGCCTCTGAGAATACACTGATTTTTGGACTGAACACGTTCTGCACTCCTCACTTGACTGCATGGTTCCTCCCTCATACAGATGTGTCTATGACTGAAAACCCAGCACTGATATCCAGTGTCCCGACCCGCGGGACCGTCAATGTAGGCCCTAGAAGAGGGAGTGGGAACTTGGGGGACAAGACACACGAGAAATGGAGACAAGACAGTATCCTGATCAAGTCTCATTTATTGGTGGCAGTGTAATGCCTTATATAGACCAGCAGGGGTGGAGGTTGGGCCAGGGCGATGATGGTGGCCCTGCGGTGGGCGTGGCCAGGTAGGTTTCGGTTTCTTCGGTCGGAGGTCATGTTGCCCCGGCGCCGTCAGTTGGTAATTTTCCGGGGCGCGGGATGGCGCCTGCGCTGTAAGTTGATCATTTTCCCGGGCGTGGGAAAATGGATGATGAAGAACCCGGAAGAGCGCCATTTTGTACTGGCATATGAGACAGCAGAACAAGGAAGAAAGTAAATCTAGGGAGGAGGCATAAAGTGGAAATGTATAGAGCTCAGGCGTCAGTAGTCAGTTATAATCGCTATGGCCGGGCCACGCAGCTCCAGACAATCCAGCAGATTCTCCTCTTATGAGATTCATATTCTTTCTTTTCTTTCTTTCTCTTTCTTCTTTCTTTTTCTCTTTCTTTCTTTCTTTCTTTCTTTCTTTCTTTCTTTCTTTCTTTCTTTCTTTCTTTCTTTCTTTCTTTTTCTTTCTTTCTTTCTCTCTCTCTTTCTTTCTTTCTCTCTTCCTTCTTTCTTTCTCTGCATGTCTCTATCTCTATTTTTCTCTGTCATTACTGTTTATTAATGAATCATCCTGAATCCTGCCAAAAGACTCCCTCTCACATTCTGCAAATATTCTGACTCAAAGATAATTAGGGGAAAACTCACGTTTGGCCAAGGTGGGAAACCTTTCTAGACTTCCACTAGTTTATTAGAGCCTCATATGAAGAGCCATGATAAAACATTATCTGTTTTTGGATTATACCTCAAATCTAAAACTGCTCTTTATAGTGGTTATGACATTCTATATTCTCACCATTACCATTATGCAAAACAGTGTGGTGGCTTCTAAATAAACTAAAACAAAGATACCATATGACCAGTGATCCAGCTTATGGAAATATACCCAAAGGAGATGAAATTACCACCTTGTGAAGATACCTGCTCTCCTATGCTTATTGCAGTGCTATTCACAACAGCCAAGATATGAAAACTAAGTTTTCTTCGATGGACAAAAGAATAAAGACAATGTGATATTTGTACACAATGTAACATTATTACGCCTTAAATAAGGAAATGCTGTCATTTTCCACAAGACAGATGGATTCCCACCACCACTAGCAATGTATTTTATCTATTGCAGCCCCTCCCTGAGAACTGGCAGATCCAGGTCCAGTAGTAAGGACTGGTTGTGATGGAGTGGCCAGAAAGAGTGCAGGTGAGGCTGAGCATCAATGTGAGGTCTTCACGTCCAGAGTTGACTCCTGCAGCTGCTCCTGGGACAGGGCATGTGAGTACACGGAGAATCCATCCCTGTCTGTCACATGTACCTGCACTCACCACATAGACCCATGTCTGACATCTGAGACACTCACGCTGGGGAGCTGTCACTAGGCACAGGAGAAGATACAATAATGCCATCTTCTTCATGAACACAACTCTGCATTCCCCAGATACCTCAGCCCTGCCTGAGGGGAGAGCTGTTAGCTTCCACAGTCCAAAAGCATTTCATACCCTGGAGCCTAAAGAATACTTTGGATGTGGCAAAGCCTTGTACTTATAAGAGAGAGGGACAGAGGTCAGACTCCCCGTGGACTTGAATATGATTTATTGTTGTCTGTTTATTTTCAGATTGACATGAAACACTTCCTTGCCAAAAACTACACCCATGACAGTTCAGAAAATTTGCTTTATTCCTGGTTTCCCACCTGTGACATTTGAACTTCTGTATCAAGTGAGCAATGTGCATACCTTACAGGAGCAATTGCAAAATAACTCTCTAAGTCATCACTATTACAAAATTGCGACCCTGTCCTGACTGCCAAATATCTTCTGGAAAGATTTAAGTAAAAATAAATCATAAATTGCAACCTTAAATTACAAGTAGCATAATGTTCAGAAACTCAGGAACTCTCTTTGCAAAGGTACCCCCACTAGAACTTACAACCCATGGTCTCCTTCCTCAAGGACACACACATTATCACCCTATGACTTAATTAATCAAAAGCCCATGTGTTTTCCATTTTACCTTCAATATTATACTCTGATTCATCACAGGCTGATACAGCAAAGTATTACCGGGGATTAATGTGGTATGCAGAAACATTCAACAGGATGTTAAAAATGCCTTCCCATCACATCTTCCTAAATAGCTTCTTTACTGCTGTCAACTTGGAAATTCTTTGTTTTAGCAGAGACATCAGAGAAAAACAGTCTCAAATATTGTAAAGGGGGCTAATTACTATTAAAAACAAATGTGGCAGTGACTCCAGGATGTCAATCCACAGGTTTCTGAAGTGAAAATGAGGTGAGTTACATAAGTTGTTTTGAGAGGATTTTCCCGTGCTTGTACAATCAATACCAAGGTTGTCATCAGTGTAGGGTTAAACAGTGATCTGCTGGGAAGATGTCCTTATAGTTGTGATTTTTTGTAAGGTTGTAGTGACTTCTGTCCAAGGTTGTGGTTAAGCAGAATCCATTTATGGTAGTTCTTGTTATCAGGAGTATGTGTATGAGAAACTTCCTTCATGATCATTTTTCAGGGTGTTAACACGAGTGGTTCCATTTTTATTTTGAAACTTTCACACCCTCTTTCTAACACTACTGGTGAGGAAGGTGACTCTGTGGTAGTTTGCACAGGACAGGATAAATTTCACATCCACATCCCATTTTGTCCACACAAGCTCATCCCCTTCGCTACTCTTGGCCACTTGCATTCCCAGGTGAGTCTCCACACAACACACTGCAGGGTGCTGAGCAATGGGAGAGAAGAAAGTCCCATCAGCCTCTCCCACATGGACGCAGGAGCCACAGCCTGAGCCACACCTGAGCTGCAGGGAATGGACTTGAGGCCTGGAGCTTTGACAGCATGAACTACATCCCCACTTTATAGGCAGCAGGAACAGTACAAGGAAAAGCAAGAACAACAACAAAAAATAAAAAGAAATAGAATGGACTAAGAGCAAAAGGGGCTCCAGATCAGTGCTGATACTGATTTGCATACTTTAGTGTCAGGAAAAGGGTCAGATGTGAAACCTGTGAGGTTCTACATGACACTGACCATGATCTAGACTCTCTATTGGCTGTGATCAAAATTCCTAAAGACTGTTTTAGTCAGAGAGGTTTCTGTCCTGAGTCTGATTGGAGAAGACTCACCAGGCACCCCTGAGATTCCTCAGGATTCTGATCCTGGTGACCATGGTTGAGGACTTTTCATCTCTGTAAGCATCAATCTGCATTTTGTGCTTATGGGAATAGGTTCTCATATTAAAATAATCATTTAAAAATATGTAGAGATGACACTGGTAAGCACAGAATTCTGAACTTAAAGAGATTCCCTAGAGAAACGGTAAAACGATGAAGTCCCACATCCGGACAGGAAATCAGCCTCAGTGTGCACCTGCCTCTGGGGCTGGTGCTAATCAGTGACTCCTGAGCGCCCCCTGCAGCTTATTTCCTCCAGCATCCATGCAGGGAGGTTTGTGTCTGGGCTCACATTGATTTCCCCTCACTGTGTCTCTTGCACAGTAATACACAGCCGTGTCCTTGGCTCTCAGGCTGTTCATTTGAAGATACAAGGAGTTCTTGGCATTGTCTCTGGAGATGGTGAATCTGCCCTTCATGGCGTCTGCATAGTATGTGTCACCACCAGGACCAATAGCTGATACCCACTCCAGACCCTTCCCTGGAGCCTGGTGAACCCACTACATAGCATAGCTACTGAAGGTGAATCCAGAGGCTGCACAGGACAGTCTCAGGGACCTGCCAGGCTGTACCAAGCCTCCCCCAGACTCCACCAGTTGCACCTCACACTGGACACCTGCAAACACAGAGACACCATGATCAGAAATTGCCACACATATTCACTGTTTCTCTCATTCATGTCCACTCACACTCAATATCTCTAGTTCTCCATGAATCACCTTCTAATATGGCAACAAGGAAAACCCAGCTCAGCACAAACTCCATGGTGAGTCCTGTGTGTTCAGTCCTGATCACTGAATGAAAACATCTGGAAATCCCAAGAATGGGGCTCCTCTCCCAGAGCTGGAGGGTCAGGGCTGGGATGGTTTTCATCAGCAGAGGGAGGGACCTATTTGCATATCTCCTACTGTATAGCTCTGGGGTTGGACACCTGTGGAGAGGGCAGGAACCAGAGCAGATGAGAGCATCCTTTGGGATTTTTATGGCAATGATTGCATTTGGGAAAAATCTGTCTTATTGTGATATTGTTCTGTGTAAACATTTAACAACTATCATACTTTTTGTTATTTTTACCTATGTGTATAAATCATGTTATTTAGGAGTCAGTGCATTCTTTATTTACAGATGTAAAAGTGAACCCACACATGGAGGGTCTAGGTATGTGACTAAGGGCTTATATCTGGCGTCAGTGAGTCCTAGTATCTGGGCTTATGCTCCTCATAATTGGCCTCAATTGCTCTCTGAACCAACTCTTGGACAGAGGTGCTGCATTTACCAAAAACTACAGAGATATCTAGTGGTCACACAGATAAATTTTTGGTGTATCTGACATTTAACAAATCTATTTGTTCCTTCCTATCATCCCTCTTTTGTCTAAAGTTTCAGTTGTTTACTTGTAATAAATTTTACGAGTTTGAATTGACAGATGATAAAATTCACATATTTAACCTGTGCAACAGTAAACTTTGAAAAAAAATATCTGTTTTCAAGATGACAATTTGACTCCCCTCAGCATTTCTCTTGATCTTTTATTTATTTTTATTATTCTCCTTCCCTTTTTCTACCATTTCTTTATAAAACTACTGATGTTTTCACATTTCTTTGGACTAGTTTTTATTTTCTATAATTTATAAGAATAAAACAATATAGTATATACTCATATATTTGGCTTATTTTTATCAATAGAAATACTAAGAATTAAACCATTTTATGTTGTATGTGGTTTTTATTTTTTATAAATAATGGGGAGCATTTCAGCAAAAAAATGTAGCATGATTTGTTTTTCTATTAAGATGCTAATGGGTATTTGAATTTTTCATTACACTGGGTCTTACTAATAAATCTGCTACTCAATTTGGTAATGTGCAAAAATGATAAATTATATATAAATTTTATAAATATACTTATTTTTGCAACAACAATAACAGATAAACAGAAGAATGCCCTATTTGGCAACTTTTCTTTAATATTTCAGATAACTGAAGTTATGAGATAAGAAATGAACCTGTAAACCAAAGAGAATCTGAGACTAATCTCAACAGATTTAGGAAGTTCATTTTTCCAGGATTAAGGACATGCCCGTGACATAGCCTCAGGGAGTCCTGACATATGTGCCCAAGGTTGTGAGGCACAGCTTGGTTTTATACAATTTAGGGAGACATGAGACATTAATTAATACATGTAAGATGTATATTGGTTTAGTTCAAAAAGGCAGGACAAATTGAAGTTGGGGGAGAGTTTCTAGGTCACAGGTAGGTATGAGACAAATGATTGCATTCTTTTGAGTTTCTGATTAGCCTTTAACTGAATGTACAATTTACAGGAATAGTCACATAGGCCTTAGTCTGGCTTAGTGAAACAATAGAGCAAAGGGAGCAATCAGATGAGCATTTGACTTACGTGAGCAGAAAAAACACTCTGTCTGTCCTTGGTCCACAGGGATTTTCCTTGTGGTCAAATTTTGAAGGAGGTATGTAACTTTTAAAAACGTGAGCAGCTGTCATTTTAGGGAAAGAATGGGAGGTGGGTTTGCCCCAAACCATTTTTAGCTTGACTTTTCCCTTTGGCTTAGTGATATGGGGCACCCAAAGATTTATTTTCCTTTCACAATCAAGGAAACCTTGGGAGAAACAAGTTCTTGTAGAGACAAACAAAGCCATAGTGTCAGCTAAACTGAGGCCGAGGCTGCCATATGAAATGATGCCTCTTACAAGATAAAGCTACAAACATGTGTTGGATCGTTTAAGTTCCAGTGTGGTAAATTTCTTGCGTGTGAAATTCTCAGGAACCGGCTGGGCGCGGTGGCTCATGCCTGTAATCCCAGCAGTTTGGGAGGCCCAGGCGGGTGGATCACGAGGTCAGCAGATCGAGACCGTCCTGGCTAACAAGGCAAAATCCCGTCTCCATTAAAAACACAAAAAATTAGCCAGGTGTGGTGTCGGGCGCCTGTAGTCCCAGTTACTCGGGAGGCTGAGGCAGGAGAATGGCAGGAACCCGGGAGGCAGAGCTTGCAGTGAGCCGAGATCACGCCACTCCACTCCAGCCTGGGCCACAGAACCAGACCCCGTCTCAACAACAACAACAACAACAACAACCACCACCACTACAACAACCACAACAACTCAGGAATCCCATAAAGAACGGTATTGATAATGTAAATTAAATATGGCCTGAGGACTCCGTACTTCTATGTTTGAGTTCTTGTGAACAAACTGTAACCTACCTGAATAGGTGGACAAGATTGAAAACCTAACTTAGGAGTGTGCACCTGTAACTATAGCTGAGACTTGGCCAATTCCAGCAGCCACAGCTCAACCACTCATACACTCTCGAGTGTGCAAACTGTGTTTAAATGAGACAAACATCATCCTGTAACCAACCCAGCTGTTTCTGTTCCTCACTTCTGATGTCTCGACATCATTTTCAAAAATCTATAAATCTTTCTCCACCACGTGGCTGCCCTGAAGTGTCTTTGAATGTGCTGTAACTCTGGAGGCTGCCCAATTCACGAATCATGCATTGCTCAATTAAACTCCTTTAAACTTAATTTGGCTTAAGGTTTTCTTTTGTCAGCATTCCTATCCAATCGAATCCCTTTGTCATAGAATGGGGACAGTCAGAAAAATCTTCCTTTCCCAAAGTGTCTGTCTGAGAGAGAAGGTAAGCCCATACTTCTGAACTGCATTCAGACCCACCCCCCTCATCAGTACTACAGAACTAAGGATTCACCCTGCAGGGGATCACCACTGAAACCATTATTCCAGAGGCATTGGTGGAGCCCTAGAGGAAATGGGATAAAAACTGAGGTTCTCACCAAAGTTTCATCGAAATTCACCTCCTCTCTTTTGTGGAATCAAATCCTTAATCTGCAGGGCATGGAAGCAAATCTAGAAGGTGATGAAAACAGTGGAGAATATTGGAGCTGTGGGAGGGAACAACTGGGAGAAACAGGAGAAAACCCTATACGTATTTAACTCTGTAGACTTCAAGCTATTTACATGTTAATTACGCAGCATATTTCATAGCTAAAGACCTGATCTAGCATGAGAAATAACAGAGAGATGACACATGGATAATGCAACAGTGGGAAGTTGAGGTTCAAGTTCTGATGTTTGTTTACTGATATTTGTCCCTGGCATGTCCAGAACTTCATGAGTACAGAACTCCTCTAATAGAGAAACAAGCTCTCACAGGACATAGTGCTCAAAATGATCTCACCTTCAGATGGAACATTAACAATCTCAAACGTTTTTCAGTTTTGTCCTTTGCAAGTTGAACTCCTGGCATGAGTGTGTCTCTCAATATTTGCACACATTGAGTTGATAAACTTCTATTTCTTCTATATCTTCCAACTATTAAGATTTCTGAAAATTCTAAAATTTTCTCCCTTCAAACCGGATCCTCGTCAACTCATTGGGTTAGGTAAATGCTCCAAGTAGGATGGGATATGTAAAGACACATCGTAGTTTTTGCTAAATTATTTATGTTTTATTTTATTTTTATTTTCAAAAATAAAGATGAAGCCTCACTATTTTTCACAGGATGACCTCAATCTCCTGGGTTCACATAATCTTCCCACCTCAGCCTCTTAAATTTCTCAGATTATACGTGTAAGCTACTTTGCCTGGACATTACTTATTTTAACGTTTTAATAGCATTTTTGTTTTGAAATAAGTGTAATTCAGGTGCTGGAAAAATTTTCTCCTCAGATTCCTCTGCAGCAGCTCCAGGGCTGGCATCTGTGTTGAGTCGGTTCTGGGCCTGCCCTGCAGCTTTGCCCTCACCCTGCAGGGGAGGGTGCTGTTTGGGCTCACAGAGCATAGTCTCCCAATGTCGCTCTCCAAGGATGAAGGGGTTCTCCCCTGGTTCACAATGCTCTTTCAGCAGCATCTAATGATTTTAAAATTGTCTCTTGAAACAGTGAATTGTCATTACTATACCCAGTAAACTGCAGGGAGAGCCCAAGCACAGATTCTATGAAACCACAAGAGAGTCTCTTTCCTGGGACTGTCAGATGCAATGACAATGAAAGTCCAGAAACTTTAAGAGAATTCTTAGGAGCCTCTTATTTATTTTAGAATTCTCTATTCAAAATCACACCAAATGGTATCTCCACAGAGAGAACTACATGGCCCAAAGCTCACAAAAATTAAAACACACATGCACACACACACACACACACGCACATATACACACACAGTTGTATGGCTGAGTTTTACAGTAACTGGCTCCTGATTTTGGATTTTTCCTAGTGTAAACCAAAGGTTTCTGAGAGAGATGTCAATCAAATTAAAATTAATTTTGCCAAACTCAGGGCATGCCTGGGAGAAAAATAAAAGTAATCACAAAAACTGTGTGTTCGGTGCTGCTCCCCAAAGACGATTTTTAGGGCTTTCAATATATAAGGTGAAAAAGCTGGAAAGAGGGGAAAAGGGGATTATATGAACATTTACATGATGTAATGAAAAAGAAGCATATAGGGAAATAGAAAATCAAGTGGTTCTCCTGCACTACATATTTCAACGACAAACAAATTGTAACTATCTGTGAAAATATTTAAATTTTCATTTCTTGCTATTTTCTAAGGAATGAAAGGAAAATCACTTTCTTACATGGATCATCCTTTAGGTTGTTTCCCCCTCATGATATAATGAACTGAGATCACAAGTTTTTACTTTCCTTCCATATTTTCCCCACTGTTTCCTTTTCAAAATCTTTCAGAGGAAGCATTTTACAAGCAAATGAGTTTCTGGTCTGCTGTTTTGTTTTATCTTTCATGGGTAGGATGAATTATTCCTTAACAGATCCCATGTTGT